AACAAATTTGGACACTTATATACCATTGTTTTGTATATAAATTTTTTCAGTAAGAGTATTTATGGTCATTAGGAAGGGTGTGACGTTCATCAACATGGGGTGTGATATCACCCACATCATGTGGATGATATCACACCCCTTAATGACCATAAATACCCTTGTTAAAAAAAATGCTTCATGTACAAAACAAGGGTATAGAAGTGTCCAAAATTTGTTGAATACAATGATAGATTACTCCACAATGTGAGCACCCTAACATAACCCTATATATATATATATATTTCCGCTCATGTTGTAATGCTAAGCATGAAATGGCTTCTCGGTTAGTTGGCAGCCTTTTGTACCAGCTTCATCCAAGGAATCTCGGATTTGATCCTCCGGGGTTCCCGTTACTTAGCGTCCTTGCTTCCTTTTTTTTTTTTAACCTTAAAAGGTTAAGTTAAAAAAAAAAAGGCGATTTATGTAAGGGGGCTCAAACCTCCAATGCAGTGGAGGGTAACCATATGTACTACCCAAAACAATTTGAATATTTTGAGCCAAAAGAGGCATACTATAATATGTAGCTGTATACTTGGTGTACAGGGAAGGCGGAGTAACTCGGCGGAGTCATTCATGTTGGATTCTTAACTCATCATGGTAGTTAATTACCTTTACAGAAACATTTTTGTACATGAGGAACTTAAGCTTTTTTTTTTTTTTTTGAGTAAATTGGCTATTGTATTAATAATTGAAGGAATTACAAGGTATTGGTAGATCGTCGATACAAAAAATAGGCGTTCCCCATTCCTGGGAGCCCTATGCAGAACACCTAAGGGTTCGGGAAATCTGTATAAGTTCACAAAAGAGGAGGAAAAACAGAATTGGCCTAGGGTCTCAAAGGGATTGAGGCTAGCTCCCTCCTTGGCTAGCGCATCTGCGTCGGCGTTAGCCTCCCTATGTGTATTTCTCCAAGAGACTTGGAGGGATGTACATAGGTGATCAATCTCAGCAAAAATGGCATCTAAAATCCACGGGATGGGGGACGATCAAGATGCCCAGGATATAGTGTTTTGAGAGTCGCCCTCGACGAATAACTGGGATTCCCAGTTTTGATCGAATCTTCTAAGACCCTCACGCAGTGCCATGGCCTCTGCATTGGTGGAGTCCGACCCTCCAATGGGCATTGCACATGATGACAAAATAAGGCCTTCAAAATTCCTAAAGAGGCCTCCAATGCTGGAGGGGCCAGGGTTGCCAAGGGAGCAACCATCGAAATTGAACTTGATGGTCCCTATTTCCGGCGGTTTCCAAAGGGACACCCGGTATCTCCTCATGACCCTTAGATGAGGTAGGGCCTGCAGTTGATGGTGTAGGTCCGAGAAGGAGTAATTGGAGAAGGTTTTGTGGTTGAGAGCCCAGAAAGTAACGAGGGACCTTCGTTCCTCTATAAGGGTAGGAATAGAGACTGTTTCCCCATCTAAAGGTCCTATTATTCCTTTCAATCCAGATAACCATAAGGTAGCAGCAATGGACGGTATCCATAGAAGCTTCCCTGAGCTGTTGCATGGGGTGCGAGTGTAAGTGGAGAATAAGTGGGGAACTGACTGGGGAGTGACCCACAGCCATCTAAAGAGCATGAGTACATCAGTCCAAAGGGTCGTGGCCACTTCACAATGTAGAAAAAGGTGGTGGTTAGCCTCTTCAGCTTGAAGAAATTACTGTTATTAATCTCTGATTGTGCACAATTTCAAATAGTAACTTTAGACCTTGTTGATGTCTAGTCCAGGAATGTCTCTCTCTCCTTAAGTGTCTTTGGTGTGAAAAACTTACACTGGTCACATCCTCTTGGGATTTGATAGTTGATGACCGTCAACTGGTTATGAAGCTTCACATCCTTCTTTGTAGGAAATTACTTGGTTCCTGGAGTAGCTGATGGTCGAGTCTTGACTGACAAAAGTTCGCACTTCTAGATATGTGGATTTGTTTAGCAACATGATAGTTTTTTGAATATTGGATTCCAACCCTCTACTTGTGCACAAATCCTTGCTTTCTTATTAACACTTGGATTTCCCTGGATTTGTCTTTTTGTTGCATAGCCTATACGTCCTGCACTTTGTATTCTATGTGGGTGTTTCTAGTTTTTCCCTGATAGTGACTCAGTTGTACTGTTCTATGGTGGCGATTCTTTAATGTTTCTTCGTCTACCATATATCGTTGCATCTCTGTTACAATTATGATGAATCTGCTGGCTTTCTCGTGTGCCTTACATAATGTTTATGTATCAGATGCAAGTCTTATGCTAAAGCCAGGAAGAGATTGACGGTATATGAAGCCCCCAACATTCTAACCATTGTATTAAAGAGATTTCAGGTATTCTATTGCCTCTCTTTTGCAACGATCTCTTCTCTCTCTCTCTCTGACACACACACACTTATGTACTGACTTGCTTTGTGTCTATTTCAGTCTGGAAAATTTGGGAAACTGAACAAGTCAGTCAGGTTTCCGGAGACACTGGATTTGAGTCCTTATATGACTGGGGAGAGTGATAAATCTCCTTTGTACAAGCTCTATGCCGTTGTTGTTCATTTGGACATCATGAATGCTTCTTTTTCTGGTCATTATGTATGTTATGTGAGAAGTCTTCAGGGGAAGTGGTACAAGATTGATGATAGCAAGGTAATCTCTCTCTCTCTC